ATATATATATATATATATATATATATGCCACTAGGAAATCTTACTACCAAATTCTAGCTTTACATTAAATGAAAAGAAGATTGAACAGGTTTGTAAAGTACAATGAAATGTCTGACAATATACTAGCTGACATATTTCTTCAATAATGATCAGATGAAGCTTCTAAACATACCACGCGAAAGACAGAAAAACACTCACACGGCTGTCAATAACCAGTACAAAAATCTACTTACCTCGAATGCGAATAGAAATGCACTCCTTAAGTCGACAAGTTAAGTATTTGGCTGCGCTCTGGCCAACATATAACTACGTGCATGAAATTGTTCGCATATGTACAATACTGCATTAGTGAAGGTTTTGTTCTTGACTTCTTTGTTTTGAAGATAAATGGTAGGAGCTGTACTTTTTAATATGCTGTGAAAATATTTAATTGAAAGAACTTAAATTTTGTTTAATAGTTCATTGTAGTAGAATGTGATTAAGTTTTATATTTAAACGCCGTGAAGATATTTAGCAGTTTAGTTTTGTTTAAGATGTTAACGTTGATTAAATCTGTCGTTAGTTTGTTATATGTGAGTGTTTTGATATGAAATATTTTCCAAAAGCTTTCTGAAACACAAGTTCAGAGAGCAAAGGACTTGCCTCCACTGAATTTTTATTAACATCTCATGTTGCATTGTTGTGTATGATTTATAAAAATCACGAGCTGCCATAAACAACCTGTGAAGTCAAAATGCCATGAGAAGAGGAACTTGCAGACCTTCAGTTACCAGATTCAGCATGGACTGGATGTTGGACACTTCCCTTGTGAGGTTGTACAGAGGCAGTTTTATTACATCATGCCCATTCCTACCTTGTTTCCTCACTATTTGATGCATCCATTCCTAAACTTCCAGTTTTTTTAGAATTCATGCACTTTTTCATACAAGGTGACATGATGTTATACATCCTTCATTCATTTGTGTTAATAGAAGCGTTCAACAATGTCAGTCAGTGAGTGAGGTTAAGAAATTTGTGGTTTTGTGAATTTTTTGTATCTGCTCTGCTGACTTTCTTATATAGTTGTATGACTTGTAATATTGTAGTGGTTTGTTTATCACCTAAGGGTGTTTCTCAAATACTTTTGAAGTTTTGTTATTTGGTTTTTAAAGATGTATATGAGTAAATAGTTTGTATTGCATGTATTGTTTATCTGTCCCATTCCTACTATAATTACTACCGTATTTATGATATTCATTACGGGTATTAAGCTGAAAAAAAGTAAGACCATTAGATATGATAGTGTGAAATATTAGCTTGGATATCCAAAATTAATCAGTCTTTCATGCGAATTTTGGTACATGTTGTGAAATGGATTTACACATTCGATATTACATCTATTGCTCAGGAATATATTAAGAGTTTCAGAAGTGCAGGTCAGCATATCTACTGTATGCAAGAAACTACTCTTTGTTGGATTTCATAGGAGAACTTCAATCATAGCCGTTAATCCAAGGTTTCAACTTTCTTGCTGTCAGGAGTGTCGATATTGAGCGAAAAAATACAAAAGCTACAACGTAGAGCAACACAATTATGTTTCTCATTACTTATTGCTCGGATAAATATATCTGCGTTTGAAAGTAATTGAAAAAATGCTTTGGAAAAGTCTGTTGTCCCAAAAGCGAGGAAAATATTATCATAGATCTGTTTTAACTGGATTGGACTTATTTTACTGTCAATAGTTAAGGGAGCCATTATTGTCTTGCTGATTGTAACATACTGATATAGATGCTCTGTTTTCAGTGACAAAACTCTATCTGCAGAACCTTAAATCTTTCAGTATGACAAGGCGCCATTCCATACTGCACTCTGTGTTATAAATGATTTGAAAGATGCGACAGCCAGAACATATCTTGACCTATTCAAAATCCAATTGGTACGCTCTGTGTCATTTTGAAATGTCGTCAGAGTTACAAATAAGATAAACTCCGAAGCTTCATTAAATTTGGAACTGCTTTTCAAGAACAGTGGTTGCTTATTCACCAGGTGCATAAGAACAACAAATGGAAAGTCCAAACAGTAATTAACTCTAAAGATGAGTCCACTCCCTGTTAAAACGAAATCTTAAATGGTTCTATTTTGTTATTTTTGAATACCCAGTGGCACAGCGGTAAGTATGTGGAGCTATACAGCTAAAAATCGGGTTTCGATACCCGTGGTGGGCACAGCACAGATTGCCCATTATGTGGCTTTGGGCTTAAGGGTCAGGCTTTCTTAAGTGTCCAATTTGATATCACCAAGCTCTGGGGCAAATTTCTCTGAGTACGTACCTTACACAAACATATAATAATTTCTAAATGATAGACGATAAACATATCTTTCCAAACATGTATAATATGTTGAGTTTGTATTAAGTTTTTCCAGCAAACCAAGGAAATAAACAATGGTGAAGTGTTAAAAGTAACATATCGCCAGTAGAAAAATTTAATTTCAAAGCAATAACACAAAGAATGAAAGTATGACTCAAGCCATTATTGTGAATAATTAGTAAACATTTATGTTTTGAAAATTTTTTATTAGTTGATTGTCCCATTACTTTTTCACATATAAAAATATCCAAAATAACATGTTGCCGTAATCATGTGTTGTTTATTTTCAAGACAATAATTACAAATTTTTGAGTAAATGAAAATATTAGAGTCTAAAATCAATCCGGAAAGTATATAATTTGATTTGATCATACCCCAAACACAGGGTATCAAGAGATATTTTAGATATGTTCTTTTGGCGCTTGTAATAAAATTAGTATTTTTAATCACGTGGTCTCCTTTGCGCATACATCTAATGTAGATACTCAAATTATGTCATTTTGTTATAAAGTTATACACAACAGCCAAGACATTTGTTGGTATCAATAACTGAAAAGGTAAGAGTAAATTGCATTCTTCAATAAAAATCACTGAACATGAACTTGTGTGAACTCCTTTACGTGTTCTCCTTTACTTCAGTTTTGCTTCAGAGGGGAATATATAGAGTGCATAATGCTTTGCCCGCCATATTTAGTTTCCACCATGTGCAGACGATTAGCGTAGGGTGGAGTTCAAATGTATTAGTCACAAATCAACTCATTTTCCTGCAAGAAAAGTCCTTGAAAGTGGGATTACATAATAGGTGTGTATCGCTTTAACTGTATAACTAACATTCAAATGGTGTGAGAGGTGATATTTTTAAGTTTAAATGACTGATAAATTAGAAAGCTAAATCTGTGAGCGATAATTAGGGACCTATTTACAAAAACAGATAATTGGGGACATAGTGAGATGCATGTAAAGGAGTTCACAGAATGGGTAAAAGAGATCACCATTTTAATTCAACTCCATATATATATACTTTGCACTTCTTAGTATAATGCCACATTAGAATAAAAGCTTACGTTTATGATCTGTAGAAGTAGTCTAATGCAATATAACTATTCTTATTAGCCTGATATAGCTGGATTTACTGTAGAAATGTAAAGGAAATCATATTAATTTCTACATCTGTCTTTGATAATATACAGAGGTAGTATGCATTTCGGTGATGGATTTCATATTTGTATTTTTATAATGGATGGTAAACAAAGTCGGCAGCTGAAATATTATCACAGAAAATAGGCACCAGAAAGAAAAACATTCTTACAATTTTTTTGCTTATTACCTTTTTATTCTAGGTACAATATAATCTGGTAAAGGAGAGCACGTGTGAAAAACAGTTGCCATTGTTGCGTCAGCAGTCACATGACTACAGTGACGCAACGTTTCTAGAATTAT